GGGAGGGGCCCGAAGGTGATCGCTGCCCCAGGGCCCGACAAGGCTCTTGACGGCCCTGAATCAGTGTCATCCATACTTTGCACATCAGTTTGTATCAATTTGTCTTAACTTAATCTCATTTTTCAACAACTAAGGCTCGATTAATAAAACGTTTCTTAATAAATCATATAAAATGCTACAAATCTCTTTCACGCAGAAATGAGATTGTTCACAGTACTTCACGCTCCTCGCACACATTTTGCATACACATATGGCTTACGTCACAGCTCACCAATGACACTTTAAAGTGGCAAAATTTGTTACAAGAAACTAATTTTAGAGTGAAAACAATTTTTGCACTAAAGGTTCCCTAAACATGCGTTCAATAAGCATAATGTCGCGATTAGAAAAAAATGACGAACTTGCTTTTAAAGACAATATTGTCCGAGCTGTAAAGTTTTGAAAATCTGTAGAAACTATCGACTGGGATTTTTTATCAACATCTGTTAATGAATTTTCTAGAATACAGTTTGCAGGAGTTTGAAAAAATATTCACTTGTTAGAACAAATTGATATAAGTCATTGTGCAAAAGTTGGAGAATCTATGTTCGATAGTTAAGGAGATATTTGACAATAAGTTGCGTCAGGCATTTTTTGATAGCACTGCAGGCTCTCGCAAAAAAAAAAAACGTAGAAAGTGGAGGCACCTGATGAGACTCTCTATCATACAGCGCCCCAACGATCCTCGTGGATTGTGGGATCAATCCAGGATGAGATGGATACTACATCTCAGCAGACGGACCGAGTACTCGATAAAAATCTTCCCCATTCGGGAATTGAAGTCGAGTCTCCTGCATGTGAAAGCGAACCACATAACCGCTACAACACAGGCACAGGTTGTATTAAGCTTATAGACACCGATCAATCAATTAGATAGACCCCTCAACCTCTTTTGCTAAGAGCTGGGTAAAGCCTCTCATTAATTAAAAAATATAAACTTTTATCCGAGAGATTTTTTTCTTTGTTTTTAGCATAATAATATGAAGGGTCCAGTGAGAAAGAAGACATAATCTCCTACTGAAAATTGTGAGGATAATTTAAAGAGCCCATCTAGAAGCGCTTGAAGAAACCCACGCGGGCCGCTTACTGATTTAAAAATATGAACAACAATTAAGAAGGCAAACGAGGCAGGGGTAGGCTCAGAGCAACTTGCTTGGGAAACCTAGACAGATCGGTAACGGGGAAAGATCAGGATATTTTATCACTTTTATTTTTAGAGCATCTGAGCAGATCAAGCACTTGGTGGTGATAATAATGAATATTTTTATCTCATGTTCTTACTTTAGCAAACGGGTTGTTGTTGTTGTTGTCTTTTTGTTGGTCTTTTTTTGGGGGGGAGGGGGTATTTTTGGTTTTTGTGAGTGTGTGAGGGGGGGGGGGGGGGGGGGGGTTCGTTTTTTCCCCTCATGGACTTCCTGGTCCGCCCCCCCCCCCCCCCCCCCTCCCCCCGCCCCCAGTACTACGAGTTCTCCCGGCTGGCGGTGAGTCTGAACGACAAACTTCCCAACATGGAGATGTACCTGCCGCCCACAGACTCACGATGGAGGCCCGACATTCGCGCCATGGAAGAGGGCTTGTTGGGTGAGTACAGACTGGGGGGTCACGTGGTGTACTTATATACTCTGCACTGTCCAGTAGATACTTGACCGTCTTAGTCATGTGGCTGTCTTACATGTCGCCACGATGATGTGTAGAAAATGCAACGGCTGGGTGAGAAGTAGCCGTCTTTATACTGTAATTTGTCTGTCAATGTCTGACGATGAACAATGCATCAGCAGAGGAGAATATTAACTTCAAGCGAAATTAACAAATGAAAGACTAAGATGAGTTATAGATTCTGTTATGGCCACTGAGACTAATTCTGACCAAGAAAAATGTGTCACATACTCAGCAGGAAAGTGGATGTGTACAGCTTGCGGGCGCTTCTCTTTGTTCAGGAATTTCTTATTCCTGACGCCGCATACAGTAGAAGATGGCTCTAGCGGAACTTGCAGTTCCTCACACATCATCTAGGACTTGCTGCCCACTGTGACTGCTGCTCTCCGGCTGGGTCTGTCAGGAACTGGGCTCTTCCATATCGAAAGTACTATGTTGATGCAGTCATTCAAACACATTTTCAAAGTGTCTTTGCATTGCTTTTATTTTTTTTAAATTGTGCGACAGGTTTACGATTTACTAAAAAGATATGGGCTCCATGGAGGAGATAAAACATTGGTCAATGTTCTCAGCTCACTTGGGACTCGTCATTTGTTGTCTAGTGCTCTTAGCTTTTTAAACGTATTTCTTTAAATCTCAGTTCACTTGTTGTGGTTGTAGTAGAGCAGAGGATAAAAGAAAGAGCGCTGACAGAGAGAAAAGTTCTGACGAAAGAGTCTCAAGACATTCCATAGTCCCTTTCCTCTTTCCGTGTTCTGTCAGTACTGGCCCGTGGGCTGACCTGTGTAGGACAGAGTGTGTGACGGCAGGTTGACGCGCAGTGACCCGGCAGCAACTTCAGCTAGCCACCGACCATTACAATGGCGGGCCACTGCACGTCAACCTTTTTTTTAATGTACGTGTTTTACGGCGCTCGCAACTGCGTAGGGTCCTATGAACGGGCGGGACACGCTAAACATTTCCGGGTGGTAGGAAATTTTGAATTTTGCCCAGGTGGCGGTCGATTTTGGACCACCATGAGATCTTTAACGTGCGCAACTTGCACACGGGACCTCCGAGATTTTTGTCCTTAACCGAGAAGGATAGGTTTTAGATCTTACCTACCATAAGATCAAGGGTGTCCACGACATCCCATGGCGTCACTGTGCTCCCCCCCCCCTCCCTCCCCC